GAAAAGTTTACAGATCCCACAACCTAGCTAGCTTCACTGCCTACAGAATCACCACAATAATGCTTATTTTGTATGTGTTTTTTAATCATCTGAAAGTCACTTAGGGCTCCCAAACATAATTGCTTGATCCTATTTTAATTTACTTGCTGAAATGGAATACAATAATTAAGCTTTGACTCTAACTGAGGAAGATATTATATGGCAAAATTAATAGTTATGACTCAGGACTGAATATCTAACTAGAAAGCGTTCTCTGGATAGCCATGTATAGGTTAAAAATACACTGTAAGTTGGATGGCAACAGACCATCCAGAAATCCCTTCCCCAGCCTGTGCTTCAGATACACTAGGAGCGATCGGGGTTTTGTAAGAATGAAGAGTTGATGGCATCCTCCCCACGTTTAGCCTCACTGTTTTCCCTGTCTCTGCTGGTGGTGGGGCACTAATGATTTTTACTCCGAATATTAACATCACTCCAGATTCAATGAGCATTACAGCTCACAACTGAAGTGCTCCCCATCATAAACTCCTCTGCTTTCATTCGCACTCGGAAAAGTCATGCTCTGAGATGAGAGATCATGTACTCTGAAAAGAAGAGCTTCATACTAATGCTTCTGCATTCAAAATAGAAAACCTACTTATTTTCAGAACATGCTTTAAGGCACCAATGATGATTTCTGACCTGATGCCAAGCAGTTCATAATTTAAAATTAAAAAGGAGAAGAAAAAAGATGGTTATTTCTTTCTCTTGGTGATTTCAGAATCTCTTCTTTTTAAAAATGCTCGAAAAGCATTCAATGACTTACTAAGAATGATATTTCAGGTGGCCACGTCCAGATAGAAAATTCTGATACCTGTTTCTGTTTAATGGTTATAGACAATATAAACTCAAGTGTTTAAAGAGAAGACTCCCTTTGAATTTAGGATTCAAATGTTGCATTTTATTTTAGGTTTCTGAAACGTTAACATCTCTATGTAACTAAATATCATTTCTCTTGGAATAACAAAAGGATGATCAACTTAATTTGGGAAATTGTGAATAAAATACATTGAACTATCACTATAATGCTTTTTGCAGGAGAGTAAGATGCTGTAAAAATTAAGATCATTTGGGGTCTTGCCCAGGAGTAATTAGCTGCTTAGGTACTCAGAAGTCTTAATTACAAACTAGTCTCTTCTGTAAAGCTGGCTCTGAAGGGGAGTAAATTTGAAAATGTTGAGAAACCTCAGAAATGCCACAAAGAGCATGGCATAGGGAAAAGCAACTAGAAACAAAAGAACAATAACATAAGGTTCGCCCTGAGCATCTTTCACTGGGGAGATGGGTCTGAAGTAGAGAGTTCTGTTTATACAAATTAATAAAGCTTGAATTTTTAACAGAAACATATGGGAGTATTAATTATACAGACATCCAGCAGAGCATGCAGATAGGTCATAGAAACCAATGTTGCCTGAGAGCACGTGCTCAGTAACTTGATGTTCAGAGTAGGCACCTTTGTCCCTGGGAAGGAGAAAAGAATGGTGATCACAACACCGAAGAGAAAATGGGGAAGGAAGGACTTTGCCTGTGATTGGACTGAAGTCCTGTGCTCACATTTTGATGACTGTAAAGCAAGCCTTCAGGAAATGAAGTGGGTGCTTATTAGACTCCTCAAAACCCAATACCTTTGCCTTCTTTCTTTTTTTTTTTTTTTTTTTTTTTTTTTTTTGTTGAGATGGAGTCCCAGTCTGTCATGCAGGCTGGAGTGCAGTGATGCAATCTTAGCTCACTGCAACCTCTGCCTCCTGGGTTCAAGTGATTCTCCTGCCTCTGCTTCCTGAATAGCTGGGATTACAGGCACTCACCACCATGCCCGGCTAATTTTTGTATTTTTAATAGAGACGGGGTTTCACCATGTTGGCCAGGCTGGTCTCGAACTCCTGATGTCAGGTGATCTGCCCACCTCAGCCTCTTAAAGTGCTGGGATTATAGGCGTGAGCCACCGTGCCTGGCCTCTTTGCCTTCTTTTTATGCATTTTCATCTTTAGCTAAAATTGTGTGTGAAATAACCTCTCTGGAAGCTCTGTCAAAGTACACCATGAGAAAATCCCTTTAAAAGAGGATGGATTCTTATCTCTTGTAGGGAGTATAAATACCTTCAAGGAGGGCCTCTACCTGGAAGACTTCCCACCACCTTTGAACTCCGTGGCTGGTCAGGATCCATCAGCTTCTTCTCAAGCGACTCAGTGGAGAGAGCAGTGCAGTTTGGGCTCCAGATTGGAAAGCATGGCCACCCCCAACACTGCCATTCAGAGAGGCCTGTGCACAGCCTGCAGCCCTGACACCACAGCACTGCCTTCAGTTAGGAGAGCAGAGATTCTTGGGACCCATGGATGGGAAAAAAAATGACTATCCTTTGTCTTTTCTTTTCTTGTTTTAACTTAGCTGAGCATCTGATGTGGAGTCTTTGTACCATGACAGGAACCACCACAGATGCCTTCATGTCACCTCAAGAACTTGTGTCCTGACCTGCCCATTGTTTCAGCTCTCTGCTTCCTTTCACTGGCATCCATTGCACAGCTCACTGTGTTCTCCTCTCCAGCTGCTGCCACCATTCTCCTGAAGCCACTCTTAAATCAGCAACAATTTTTTCTTGTCGCAAAAGCCAGGAATTCCATCCAGTAAGGCCAATGAAAGCAGCAGCTCCTGTGTGTGCCAGCCACTGTGGTAGGCACACTGTTTTAGGCCTTGTTAGTCCTCATTGCATCAGGCACTGCTCCTACCTTCTAAGACCACTCCTTGTCTTCTGTGATATGGGCGTTGTGGGCATATTCCAACTTCAATTCCAGTTCCTTCATTGGCTCTTGTTTCTGCCCCACCCCTTGGGATTGGATCTTCCCCTGTGGTGTGTCTTTCACCTTCTTCTTGTTCACTCCTTAAACCACCTTGTCTGCTCACATCTCCTTGGCCACCAATGTATATACATGGATTTACAGATCTGATTCTTATTTCTAATTGGACATCTCCACCTGCTTATCAAACTGAGCATGTCCAAAAGCATTTCCATTATGCTTATGCAAAAACACTTTCCCCTCCAGTGTTTCTTATCTTCTTGGTTTCTTCATCTATGGGATCCTCCCATTCATCTATGAATCTCCCATCCATCTTTCATGGCAGATCAGTCAACGGACCCTCTCAATTCTTCCTCATCGACATTGTGGCTCCTCCTCCTATTCTCCAATGCCTCTGCTTCAACTCAGGTGCTTAGAGTCTCGCTCTCCTTCGGATTTGCACAATAGCTTCCTGCCTCCCTACATCCAGCCTCTAGCTCTTCCAGTCCCTCCTTCATAAACAACCACCAGAACAATCTTTCTGCACCACAGGTCTGATTGTGTTACTCTCTAGTGAAAAGCTTCCAATGGACCCTAACTTGGCAGAGTAAGCCACAACCTTCCAATCCTACTCTGCCATTCTCATCTCCACCAAACCCACCACCTTCTCATTTCTAAGCCTCTGTGCATGTATTAGTTCTGCTGCTATAACAGCCTCTTTTGGCCTCTTTGCCACTTAGAAAATGCTTATTCATCTGTTAAGAGTCAGCTCAATCACCCCTAGCAGGCAGTCAGTGTCTTTTTAATGAATGAATGAATGAAGACTGGTCCCATTCTGTCATGCAAAGTAGGGCTGATTCTCTTCACTATCCTGGAGGCATGTTGTTCATATTGCTCCTGTCACATTTGTCAACATGGTAATTGTAGCCGTTCTTCCTACCAGATCTAGCAGGCAGGTCCTTGTGTGGCCCCTCTTCTTCCCCCATGGCAGACATCATTCCCAGCCCACCTTTCCACTGAGCTCAGACACAGCTCTCAGAATCTTTCTTAACACAGTACTTTGAGCAGACTGGTGTTTGCACACAGTTTGAGGTCTGTGTAACATCCCTCAACTAGACTCTGAGCTTTTCCAGTAACAAGCACAGTGGGCTGCCTAAAGTAACAACTCAATTGCTGAATAAATAACAGATGGATTTTCTTCTTAATATTAGCTATATATTGCCTTGCATTACAGATAGATGTGTCCAGGAGAATGGATTCATGGCAAAAGATAAGTGAGGTGATTTACTGAAATCCACTGTGATGCTTTGCAGAAAATTTTTCACAAACACATTGAGTTATTCAAACTATCGCCTGGGCTGCCCCAGCCCTCTCTCTTTACAGAGTTCAGACACTGCTTTGCTTTAAAATCAGCACATTGCATGTGATCTCTTCTAGCCTGCCTTTAATGTGTCTTGCACATTTTTTTAAAAGTGGCTGGAAGAAGCATTAAAACGAGTTACTAACCTTATATTTTATTTTCATAGTCTCTCTTTTTTGCAATCACAAAGGAAAACTGATGCATCTGGGGAATTTTAAAACTGGTTAAAAAAGCACTTCAAGAGAGCTGCTTTTTCATATACTGTATAAAACATCAAATATTAAATAACAATACTCTTAGTAATCCATTGTCTTTGAAACAGGTGTAAGTCTCAAAAAGATGTTGTGTCAACACAATCAGGAAACCCCTCTCACCGCTCAAACAGCCTCATCATTGAGTTCAATGAGTTTCACTCACACTATCCAATTAAAAGCCTTCTTGAATTCTAGTCGCATTCCAGAATTTAAACTATAAATGAAGAAATCAAGAAAGTTTCTATTTTTTCCTGATTCCCTTAACATACATAAGATGGCTAGTTGTTGAAAGTTCAAAGCGGAAGGTTCTTGTGTCAGTCCTAAGGCTATGCAGTACAGTGAACAGAGTGATGAGAAACAGAGCAAGAAAGGGGCCTGTGAAAGCCTGCAGCAGTTCTAAAATAACAGTGGCACTGCATCGTTGAGTAACTGTGAAGCCAATTCTTTTGTGGCATCTTTTATTTTTTAATGAATTTATATCATTGGTTAATTATTGAAATCGTTTCCTCTCTCTCACCTTTTATGTATTTTCTCTCCCATTATGTTCCCACCTATCTTAACTGGAAAATCCACCAGGCTAACTGTCAGGTAGGTTCTTCTTGCTGTTTAGTGTGGTTATTAGTAGTATACATAGAGAGAAATGAAGTAAACAGACTGTTGGTGACTGGTGATGAATGATAAAGCTAAACAGAAAAGGCACATACTAAATTATAGAGAAACTTTCTGCAGATGCATAAAACTGTACAAGCTGCAGACTCTAAGTGCATTCAGCCAGTGTGAACATCTATCATAAGAACTTGGCCTAAGGGAATGTAGCAGCTCTAAATGATAAAGTAGATTACCTGGGCTGTCCAGGATTTTTGCTGTGGCTCAAAATCCAGACTGCTCCTGGAGGGCTTCATTGTTCTAGAGCATCATTACATCCTGTGTGGTCACAAGTGATTCTGCTGTAAATATAATATCAGCATTTATGGATTTGGTCCAGTTCAAGAACAATACATAGTAATGTATTTTACATCCCTATTTTAAGTATCTACTCCAAGCATTCTCTGTGCCTTAAAGAATGAAGGTGACTAGGAAAAGGGGGGTGTGTATATTTTGTTAATGTTGAATCCACCCTCGGAGTTAAAACTGACATGATTTAACTTTTGTGAAAGAATGGTCACTTGAAACGGCTTCATTTTCCCTTTAGTGTCAGGGAGAAGAAGTACTGCATCCACACAAAGTAGCGGAACAAGCTCTTTTTAGATCCTCAAGGGCAAGACGGATAACTTTATAAGCCCAAAGTATAACTAAGTCCAAGAGAGGAGAGGCAGACATTAAAATTAAAGTGTGTGTGGCATGTATCTGATGTGTGTGTGTGTTTTGTTTTTAATTTGAGCTCATATTTATCTTTCAGGAGAAAAAATTATGTGCTTCAGTTGCCACGCAACACAAACTGCTCTAACAGCTTTCTAATTTTAATTTCAGAAGTCTACGGAGCAAATGAAGAAGGTCCCTACTATTATTCTCTCTGTCTCATATAAAGGAGTCAAATTTATTGATGCAACAAATAAGGTAGGTACCTCACCTCTCTCTGGTTTAGACCCCAGATGCTCCTGAGTATATGATCTAAAATCCTTTGCTTCCTGTAATACACAGCATTCCCTGCTTTAATCATCCCTTTCCCCCAGCCTTCATGCTTTCTACTATACCTATAGATACACACTCGTGTACACACACACACACACATTCATATATACATTTGGAGGGAGGGCTTGACCTGGGGTTACTGTAAATATTGTGCTTTCACTTTTTTGTGATGATTTCTCTAGTGGACTGTGGCCACTTATTGTCTAGCATGTCCCTTTGGATTTGGAGAACATTGAAACAGAAAACAGAAATCACTTGTAGGTTGAAAAGTCAACAATGTCATCACTCCTCCGTCAGAGGAGATGTTACTAGAGAAAGGGCTAGAACATTTGTCTTTCTTTTTATCTAGAGATATATATATGTCTTTTCCGTTGATAATTTTCTGATTTTTAAATTTTGTAACTACATTTAATTCCCAGCCTCTGAGATGGGAGAGAGTTTCAGCTGTATTGTTTTCTTAAGAGACACGATCAGAAAAGCATCCCAGGCCGTGCTGTGGCTCCGCTGTGTTTTCTTCCTCACAGTGGGACTAGTTTGTGGGCTGTGATGTCAAGTGTGGTCAGGAGGATTGCATTTTACAGAAAAAGCATTCCTTTCTTGACAAAGACAACAGTGTCCCTTGCTGATGAACTAGAAAGCTGGTTTTTCTCTGAACCTCTCACCCAGACCTCCCACCTAGACCCACTCCATTTTGGAGAAAGGGAACAGAAAATCAAAAAACAGGTAAACTTAAGAAACAATAACTTAGGGCCAAGGCAACTAGATTTAGGTACCAGGGGAAATCTCATAGTTGGTGGCTCTTTGGTGTCTGTATTAAACCCCAGCATCTGAATTGGAAGAGTCACAGGCGGTGACTCTGGTGTCTGTATTACCCCCCATCTGAATCAGTGACTCTTTGGTGTCTGTATTAAACTCAGCATCTGAATTGGTTTTCTGTAATGAAAGAGGTGGTTGTTTCACCCAAGTTAGATAAACCCAAGTTCCCCAAATCTACTTGAGAAAACAACCTCCCAATTATAGAAAAAGTTCCGAAACCCAGGCAAAAAGTGTACAACCCAACATCATTTTGCTGACCGATAATATCAGCATAATGGTGATTTCAACTGTGCAAAATATTGTTGATGGTTGTTGTTAGATAATAATTGTAGAGACTCAAGAACAATACCAATCGATTTGCTTTTTTATTTCTTGGAAGCATCTTTAGTTCCTGGTATATAAAATTACTTTCTCCTTAATAGTTGGTTTTAAAAGTTCTAACACTTTATGGAACATTTTATGGAATGACAAAGATATCATTGCTATTGTTATATCTAAATCTTAAGAAAGACTTTGGCACCTGGATTTTTTTTTCTAACTTGGAGCAACTGCCTCTATCATATTTATGCTTGAAAAATGTGAGTAGCAGTATATTTTCAGTGGATGAATTTGATACTCTCTGAGATGAACAACTATAGCAGACTTGGATTCTGACAGTTTCTAAACAAGTGGCATTTGCCCTGAGAAGTTCTTGCAGTCCTTAGGCGGTCATTTCATGATGCTGGGGGTATGGCTGGATGCAGCTGTATTCATAGCATCCCCTCTAACCTGCTCTCCACAGTCAGAAGAATGAAAGAGAGCTCTGCCAGTTCCATTGTATGTTGCTTATTGACACATCAAGGGACACAGCAGTGATGCTCTTTGCCTTGAGGAGATACATTTGCTTCAATTGCCAATAATTAGATGAGTTATCCATAAACCTCTGCTCACTGATGACTACTCTTGGAAGCAAAAGCACGGAAAGATATGCAAAAGATAATTCTATGTAAATAAAGATGCTAAGTAAAGAAGGTCAGCATATTTTTTCAAGTCCTTGCAGTGTGGTCCTCAACATATTTTCAGATTCTAGAGCAAAGGCAAAATGCCCATGTTGGTGGCAAGTGGAGCCAATCTGTGAATGTATGACAACATATGTCTGGCTTTCTCAGGAATTGGAAGATGTTAATTTCAACTGACTATACAGGGTCCACATCCCAGTGACCTGCAAGGTAGCGGATCTCCCCAATATGACAGTGTGTATGGGGAGAGAGGGTGACTCAGGGCAAAAGTCTAGCAGTTGCCATTTGGGGAGTCAAAGTAAAGAGATTGTGTTTAAAAGGATAGAAGAAAGAAATAGTGGAAGGCCATGTTGGTGGAGTTTGACCGGATAAGGCTGAGAAACACTACCACCAGCCAGGGCAGGAGGACCAGCTTTTGAAGGGTCAGAGAATCCACAGTTGAAGGATCATCCTCAAGTTGTAGTGTGAAATGAACCATGCCCAGATACCTAGATTCTAGCAGCGTTTATGAGGACAACTGCATATGCCACTTTGTTCTAGAGCAAAGAGCACAGCAGAAAAGGAGAAGATTAATTAAACCCCAGAGTCTTGCTTTCTGTTTTCACCAGGTATTTCCCCCACTGGGCACTGTTGTGTCAGTGAGCTGCTTTGATTTGAAGCAGAGGACTTGTAGTATACAAGCATATTTAAAGATCTCACCATTTCAGGTACTAGAGGCCACTAAGCCAGGAATAAGGCACAACCAAAAGATAACACCTGACTATTCTTTTTTTTTTTTTTTTTTTGAGACAGAGCCTCGCTCTGTCACCCAGGCTGGAGTAAAGTGGTGTGATCTCAGCTCACTGCAACCTCTATCTCCCACATTTAAGCAATTCTTGTGTCTCAGCCTCCTGAGTAGCTGGGATTACAGGTGTGTGCCACCACGCCTGGCTAATTTTTGTATTTTTAGTAGAGACAGGATATTGCCATATTGGCCAGGCTGGTCTCAAACTCTTGACCTCAGGTGATCCACCCTCCTCGGCCTCCCAAAGTGCTGGCATTACAGGCGTGAGACACCATGCCCAGCTTACTGATCATATTTTACCTTTTCGTTGTGCTTTATTCTTCAACAGTGCTCTCCAAACCTTGCATCTTTTACTCCTGCCCTGGTCAGAAACAGGAGGTTGTTTAATCTTCCCTGAGTAGCTGGAGACCTGCAGGACTCAGTCCTGTGGCTCAGGGCTGCCTTGCAGTCACACAGCCTGTTGGGCATGAAGAATGACTAAAACCTGACTTTCTTCTCCCTAACCTAATGCTCTTTTCTGTTACTCTGCAGCTGCCTTCCACAAATTAGTTTAAAGTGCTATGGATAATTAATTGTGTGTTAATTACTCTTCTCCTCCTATTAGCCCCCATTAGACTTTGTGAAAGATGAACCCTCCGTGAAGCATTTCTTTCCTTTGATTCTAATAAATAAATGGCTTTGGCTGGATTCATGGGAAAGGGTTAGAGGCCTAGTTATAAACTCATAAATATATTGCCTAGTAACTTAGGAAATGAATTGAATCACTAACCCTGATTTAAGAAGGAGGAAGCGGAATGTGATCTTGAATTAAAAGTGGAACTCGCAATAGATTTAGCACTAAAGTGTTTTAGATAAATCACCTCAGCCTTCTGTTGATCAATAGCCCCGAGGTTGATCTAGCAGGGAATTCAGCCTGGAGGACGGCAGCTGTTTAGTAACAGACCCTTTTTCAGGTCGGGGGTGGGGGTCTTCTGAGAGGAGACACCGTTTCTACGTTCAGTGCTCAGCTGAGGAGCAGGCTGCATTTTGCCTTCCTGTGCTGACTCCCTCCTCAGTCTTCCCGTCTGGCTAAATTACAAGGATGCAGTGCAGGGTTTGTTTTTTGCTTTTATTGTTGTTTTGTTTTTTGAGTTTTTAAAAATTTTTTTGGAATGCCAGTTTTAAATAAGCCATATACTATTTGGGGACACAAAATACTTTGGAACATTTGCCTAACAAGTGCCTGTTGTTTTGGGTTTGTTGTTGTTTTTAAGAGACAGGGTCTCCCTCTGTTGCCCAGGTTGGACTGCAGTGGTGCCATCACGGCTCACTGTAACCTCAAACTCCTGGGCTCAAGTGATCTCCCGACCTCAGCTTGCAGAGCAGCTGAGAGGCGTGCACCACAACGCCTGGCTAATTATTTTAATTTTTTTGTGGAGATGGGATCTTGCTGTATTGCCTAGGCTGGTCTTAAACTCCTGGCCTCAAGCAATACTTCTGCCTCAGCCTCCCAAAGCACTGGAATTACAGACATGAGCCACTGGGGTGGGCCTCCCATTTTTTTTTTTTTTTTTTTTTTTTTTAAGAGCAAATACTCCTAAGAAGCTTGGAGACAAATTATAGACCATGTTAAGCACATGTGCTGTTCTCAGCATCGCATGCCCCCCAGGGCATCTCCAGTTAGCTCTCAGTCTACACTGGCGGCCCCACCCTGGAGGGAACACTGCAGTCTCCTCACTCAGGAAAAGCCTGGCCTGATGAGGAGATGTAGGAGAAAGGCCCCACCTGGTGGGGCTCACACGGAAGGCAGTGGTGAGAGGCAGATTCCTAGGCTGCATCACCTCATCATCACACACCCTCTCAGAACCGCCGTATGAATTAGCTGGACCTGAGAATTCTATCCTACCTCTACCAGCAAGACACCTCTTCACCTGTTTCTCACCATAATGGAAAACAACAGACAAGCAAAACCATCTCTCCCTGTTGAAGGGTGCTACGCTGCCAGAATTTCTACCCCCAAAAAGAGGCAGGAAGAGCCCCTCCACAGTTCTTCTCCCAAGCCTTTTAAAGTTCTGGTCTTCTCAGAACGTGCTTAGAAATGGAGGCTGGTCAACATATGAGGAGTCCAGTCTTAAACTGAGGTGCATCACCTGTACCTCTTCATTACATCACTTTTCAATTTGTGGACGAGCCACTCATGATTGCATGACAGAAGGTGGAAGGATGTCTTCCTCTTTGGCTGCTTCTTTAAGGAGGAATTCTACCATCCAGTGTCCATACAGTCTACAGCTGTAATCCTTGACCTTGGATTCCTCCTGCATGTAGGGAACTGGCTTCACTATTCTGCACAGGTAGACGATGCAGAGTGATGGCAGTATTTCAGTAGTGACATTCCAGGTCCTTACCCCATTCTTGCACTGGCAGTATATCACAAAGGTCTGTTCAAAATCACCTGCCTTTATAGGCTATCAATACAAATTCAAGAGCATCTTATAAGTGCCAGTTAGGATGACCACAATGATTAGTTATTCCTACCTGAATATAGAATATTTTTACTAGCATGAGCTTTCCTTCTAGCTCAGACAATGGGAACAGAGAAGTAAAAGTTTCCACAGGCAGGGGAGGAGGCTGATTTTGGAACATGGAGCATCACAGAGGTCAGTCCTCACTGGGCAGCTAAAAGGCAGACAGTCATGGGCTCCTGAGGAATAGAAAAGAGCTGGGCTAGGCTGGGCATAGTGGCTCACACCTGTAATCCCAGCACTCTGGTAGGCTGAAGCAACTGGATTGCTTGAGCTCAAGAATTGGAGACCAACCTGGGAAACACAGTAAAGCTCTGTTTCTACCAAAACAAAATACAGAAAAGTAACCAGCCTTGTGGTGCACACCTGTAGTCCCAGCTGCTCAGGAAGCTGAGGTGGGAAGATTGCTTGAGCCTGGGAAGTTGCATTGAGCTGAGATTGTGCCACTGCACTCCAGCCTGAGCAACAGAGCAAGACCCTGTGTCAAAAAAAAAAAAGAGAAAAAGAAGAAGAGCTCTCTGGAAAGTTCAGGGGTCAGCAAGGACGGAGGAGGAGAGAGCACTGAAGATATACTTTCCCTCCTTTGCAATTTTGCCACAGGCCACAATGCTGCCATGCACCATTGGAAATTGTCAAGAGTGTCATCCCACGAGTTGGTAAGATTCAGGGAATTGAGTGCAATAAAAATCACAGAGCACTTTTCATTTCCCAAGAAGTTGATCTACCTTGGGATCTTGCAAAAGATCTCAAGAACACAAAATGCCAACTTAGTGAAAGTTGAAGCATCTATTATTTCCTTTGACAGTGCCTCCTGGACAGGGGAGACCAAATCCATCCAGGCTTCCCAGGATATTGGCTGCCCCCAATCAGGCCGATGGCAGAGGCTCCCACACCATCTCACAATGCACCTTTATCTCATTTTAACATTCATTTTAAGACTCATTCATCCCTAATTCAGTTTTCTACTTGAAGGAATGCTATCTGGATGCCAGAAGAGGATCATGACCTTCTAGTTTGAAACCTATCTTGCAATAGAACATTATTTGTTTATGGGATTTCAATTGCAATTTGAATTATTTTTTGACAGCACTGCATGTAATGTCAACACACAAGGACACAGTGAAGAATGTCTTAATTTAATTTTCTTTTATAAGTTAATTCTGTAATTGCCTCCAAAACACTCAGCTTGGTAGAGTGAGGGACATGAAGTACTTGCTGGGGGTGCTGGCAGGGAAGGACATTTTCTAAGCATTTTTAGGCCTTGATGGGTGTACATGGAACACTATATTGCCAACAGGTTATTTAAGACAGTGCAATTAAAAAGTAATTAGAGAAACTAAAGCATTGAGGGTTGTAGGTCTGTGACAACTGCAAAAAACACAAATGGGATATTATAAGATAAATGATGGCACTATTATGTGAGTTTTTTTTCTTTTCTTTTTAAACATATCTATATATCAAAAGAAATTTCTAGCAGGGTTTGCAGCCAAGCTGCTTCATGGTTATTTTGTGCTTCAGGACAACGGTACTTAAACCTTTCTCCCACCGGGGAAGAAGGCACAAAGAGATGCTAGAGAGGAGAAAATACAATTCTTGTTAAGCCAATAAGAGGGAGGTAGAGATGATGAAGGGCGTTGCAGTGCATTTCAAAGAGGCTGAGCCGCAGTCAGACAACCCCAAATTTCAGTCCCACCCCAGCACCTGCTCTGCATAAGGCACTTAAATTCTTTGAGTACCAGTTGCTTCACCTGTAAAATAATAATGGCAGCAGCACCACCTAATTATACACAGAAGATGCAGTTAGGAAAGGGTTGTTAATGTATCCGCAGGGCCCGGATCAAGCAAGGTATCCAAGGCCTGAATCTTGCAGTGTGCTGTTTCTCTTATCAGCCTCCAGCACCCTAGTTTCCATGGAGAAAGCACCTTGAGGCTTCCACCTGCCTGCTTCCTTCAGTACCTGCCCTTGCTCTGAGGGAGGAGGAACAGGACACGAGAACAATGTGCAAGCACAGTGGCAAGGGATTTGAAGAGCCTCGTTGAGTCAGATCTCTTCTCACACACAGGAAGCGACAGATGATCCCTTCCATTCAGAATTAGCAGAAAGCAGTGCTGCACAGCTACAAGTGGACATGGGGAATGGAAACAATCAAATACTTAGTAATTGCTGTTATTTTTAAGAGTAGAGGCTGGATGCAGTGTCTCATGCCTGTAATCCCAACATTTTGGGAGGCCGAGGAACTCGAATCACCTGAGGTCAGGAGTTCAAAATGAGCCTGGCCAACATGATATAAACCCCATCTCTACTAAAAATACAAAAATTAACCAGGCGTGAAGGCATGCACCTGTAGTCCCAGCTACTTGGGAGGCTGAGGCAGGAGAATTGCTTGAACCTGGGAGGGGGAGGCTGCAGTGAGCTGAGATTGTGCCACTGCACTCCAGCCTGGGAAACAAAGTGAGAGTCTTGTCTCAAAAAAAAAAAAAAAAAAAAAAAAAGTGGCCGCCACCCGGACTGCTTCCATGCATAGCACCTGGTGAGAACTGCAGCTCCAGGATATGACTATGTTAGGTTGTTTTTAATTAAATGAAAATATTTCTTCCAGATCTGGCATTCATTTACCCACAAACAATACAGTGGACCACTCTGAGTGTTGCTGGTCTGAAACACTCTAAAAAGAAGGAAAGCAACTGCTTCCCAGGTTGCTTGTCTTTGTTATCAGATTTGCCGGTTCACAGAGGAAAACAGTGATCATTTATGTCATCTCTTCCAGAACATAATTGCTGAGCATGAAATTCGTAATATCTCCTGTGCTGCCCAGGACCCAGAAGACCTCTCAACATTTGCCTATATCACAAAAGATTTGAAATCCAATCACCACTACTGTCATGTGTTTACTGCCTTCGATGTGGTGAGTACTTCCCCTTTCAACAGATTAAAGACTTTCCAAAATAGTCCTGGACTGTATTGAAAGCCCAACTTATCAACATACTAGCTTGGCTTGTTTACCCAGTGTTAAGATACATACCAAGTGTATATGTTTGCTAGGGCTGCCATAACAAAGTACTACAGACTGAGTGCCTTAAACGGCAGAAATTCATTTTCTCACAGTTTCTGAGGCCGGAAGTGCAAGACCAGTGTGTCATCGGGTTGGGTTTCTCCTGAGGCCTCTCTCCCTGCCTTGCAGATGTCTGCTGATATGGCTTGGCGGTGTCCCTATCCAAATCTCACCTTGAATTGTAACTCCCATAATTCCCACCTGTCATGGGAGGTACCCGGTGGGAGGTAATTGAATCATGGGGGAGGGTCTTTCCTGTGCTATTCTCATGATAGTGAATACATGTCACAAGATCTGATGGTGTTATAAATGGGAGTTCCCCTGTACAAGCTGTCTCTTGCCTGCCACCATGTAAGACATGGCTTTGCTCCTCATTCACCTTCTGCTGTGATTGTGAGGCCTCCCCAGCCACGTGGAACTGTGAGTCAGTTAAATCCCTTTCTTTTATAAATTACCTAGTCTTGGGTACATCTTTATTAGCAGTGTGAGAACAGACTAATAAAGCTGCCCACTTGTATCCTTACGTTGCCTTTCCTCTGTGCTTAGATGTTGGGTCCAAATTTCCTCTTGTAGGGACACCAGTCATATTGGATTAGAACCTACCCTAATGTCCTCACTTTAACTGAATCACCACTTTCAGGGCACTGTCTTCAAATACAGCCACATTTTGAGGTACTGCGTGTTAAGGCTGGAACATAGGAATTTTGAGTGGGTCACAGTTCCACTCCTAACACCAAGTACCTTTTGGCAGACTAGGCTCTTTGGAGATTTTTCTGTATTTTCATTCTTCCATTCAACTTAGAACACCAACTCTACCTAGTATCTCTATTGCCATTACTCAACTACTAATTTCACTTTTCAGGCTTGAAAAATTCCTTTGTTTCTCTGGCGCCAAAATATAGTAAAGGTCTTACAGCTTCCTTGTCCCTCACTCTGTCTGTTGGTTTCTCTAGTAGCCATTTCTAAGTACTAGGGCATAATAGTTGTGTTTGCCTCATACAAATCTGCAGTTTTCTATATTGAATAGGAGTCAGATTAGATACCTACAGGTAATAATTGGGAACTCCAAGGTTTGGCCCACATTCTCATTCAGAAATTAGTCTTGGCCAGGCACAGTGGCTTGCAACTATAATCCCAGCACTTGGGAAGCCAAGGCTGGCAGATCACTTGAGCTCAGGAGTTGAAGACTAGCCTGAGGAACATGGTAAAACCCCATCTCTACAAAAATGCAGAAGAAAAATAGCTGGTTATGATAGCACATTCCTGCAGTCCCAGATACCTGAGAGACTAAGATGGAAGGATCACCCATGCCTGGGAGGTCAGATTTGCAGTGAGCTGTGATCACATCACTGCACTCCAGCCCAGGGGACAGAGTGAGACCCTGTCTCAATTTTTTAAAAAAAGAAGTTACTCTCAGCCAGACACAGTTCATGCCTAAAATTCCAGTACTTTGGGAGGCCAAGTTGAGAGGACCACTTGAGCTCAGGAGTTCAAGACCTGCCTGGGCAACATAGACTTTACTAAAAAAAAAAAAAAAAAAAAAAAAAAAAAAAGCCAGGCATGGTGGTGCACACCTGTAGTCCCATTTGCTTAGGAGGCTGATGAGAGAATCACTTGAGCCCACGAGATTGAGGCTTCATAGCTATGATCATACCACTGCACTCCAGCCTGGGCTACAGAGAGAAACCATGTCTCAAAAAAAAAAGTTAGTCTTGTAATGACATCCTTATGGAATTCCAGTTATAGCCATACTTGTCATTAAACCTAAAAGATAGCTCATATATTACAAACTTGGAAAATGATTAAAAGAAACAACAAGTGTTTTTTTAAGATTGATATGCCCTCAAGGTGGTACAGATTGCTTGAGGTTATCGCTGATAGAGTACATTAATAATTTATAATCAGAAGAATTTGAAAATGCCACTTTAGTTCGATGATTCTGCTCTGCTTACTGGGTTTGAAATATACATATTTAAAGAATCAGGAATTGCCGATAATATATTCATGAGAGGCCTGCTCCTAGTTCAGTGTCATGGGTAGAAGACTGCCTGAAGTAATGTTTTCCAGTTCTTGTGAACCCCCATAGGCCAAGGCCAACCGTAATCCAAAATCTATACCAGCCTAAGGTCTGTGAGTCAGGCAGCTCATGCTCAGAGCATTTATATCATGCTACATGTTCCTCACCCCTTTTGGTTTTTCAAGATTGAAAATGAGAAAGAATGCTCATGAGCCTTTAACAAAAATCCCTTCCATTTGGGGAGGCATGAGGAGAGTAATACAAAAGCAGTGTGTGGTAACAGTACAGACCACAAAGCCCAGCCCTGCAAGGCTACCCTGAATATCTCTGAAAGTGTTTGTTTGCATGGGATTAAAGTGTCGATTAAATCCATTTCATTCAGAGTTTACAAGGACATGCAGTGTTAGGTTTCTGGTGCCTTAAACATAACTTGCCATTCTTGTAAAATTTGATTGTTTCTTTATACAGTCAAATTTCATCCTATCACGTCTATTTTGGTTTGCATGAAACACCTTTCTCTATAGGTTGATGTCATAGAAAGACAGAATACCAAAGTTCATATCCCAAATCAGCTCTCTCTCTACTCCCTGGGCTGAGAGAAGTTGCTGGACTTTTCCGAGTCCCAATTTTCATAGCTAGAGAACAGAGACAACAGTTTGTACCTTGCAGGTTTTCACCAGGAGTGAAATGAAGGAACATATGTAGAGTGCTTCATAAATAACAGGTGTTCAGTGTTTGTTCCTTCACCTCCTTCTCTTCGCCTACTGACGTCAGTTAACAGCCTGACCCTTTTTCTGCTAAAAGACATAAGATAGATTTGTCAGATGTGTAATTTATCTTCCAAAATTTTCCTACTGCCATTATGAAAAAATTGAAAAAGTGGAAGCAATAAATAAACATTAAAATATAAACAGCAGAAAGAAAACGTTGACTCCACAGACCTTGCTGCCTCTAGACTGTGGCTACATTGAGCATCAACATGAATACTCTGATACTTCTCAGGATGAATTCCAGCCTTTTCCTAAGTATTGCAGCATTTCTTTCAGTAAAATTGGTTTTTAAGGTAATATATAATTTGCCTTCATAAGAGTATCTAAAGCATTTTTCCACATCAAACTAAAACTGGTATCTGTGGACTATCTGCCCCCTTGAGTTTATTAGCTGTATATATACATATATGTATGTATGTACATGTGACACCAGAATACTGAGGTGAAATGTTGGGGGAAGAAATAGTCAACTGTTTAGTTTTATGATGAACATCATATCCCTGATAAACTTGGAAAACATACAGAGAATCGCTTCAACATTTATCTTTTTATGCAGATGTTTGATTTAATGTAGACATTACTAGCTTAAGATTATCACATCAGCTCCAAATGACTTTCATCTTACACAGATCCTCCATTTTAATCCTCTCTAGGTGAACACAGTTTGTCAGACCTCAAAATTAGTAATAAAGGTCACCAGCCTTGACCTGGGACTTTGAGCAATTCTGCGATATAACAAGCTTCACTTGCACTAAAAAAAAGCTTCTTTGAGCATGGATTTTGTATCTTTATGTAGGGCAGTTCAATACTAGTCCAGTCTTTAAAATTCTTTTGATAGGAATCAATCCCCTGGACTGCCCTAAATGGGGGGGTGGGGGGGAGAATACCCTGTAATACCTGGTGGGTGTGTGTGTGTGTGTGTGTGTGTGTGCGCGCGCGTGCGTGCATTTTTAATTGTGAAGTTACTGCTTTTTTGACCTTAAAGACCTTTTATGGGTCACACGTTTTTATGTAATGTTATCACATATCACATGTTTTTATCTGATATCAAGAAAATTCAGTGATGTCTAGGAAGTTTTCCATTTATGGACAGTTAGATTTGAAGTTCAGAGCATTTTCTCATAGAAATTGTAGTCTGGGAAAGGAGGCCTGGAGCCCCCCACCCCACCATGGAAACTACGATGTGAGTTGAACATAGTTTGTGTGCTTTGGGACTCTGCAGGGCCTCGAATGTGCTCAGATGTGAGGAGGGAGTGGAGTGTGCAGGGATTCTCAAGTTTATTTGGCCATGGTAGCCTTTTTTGTCGGGGGGAGAGCACCTCACAGAGGTGGCCTTCTGCAGAACACAGTTTGGAAAATGTTACATTTGATGATATCTAAGCCCGTGTTTGTTGCTTGGAATCTACCATAAATTCAGCTTGTGATAGTTTCAGTTTTAAATGATGGGAGGATGAAAATAAAAAGACTAGAGCAAAACAGAATTAGGGTTTTCAAGAAGAAAAACCAGTATATACCACAGGCAAGCACCAAGCCTGCTCTGTATTCTGGAGTCTATACTCTCATTATTGTTGGAGCTGATTTCTAATCACATCCCTAACTTGCTAGGCCTGAAACACATCTCACCCACTGGAGAACAAAAGGTTCCCCAAACTCCACCTTCTGGGCAGTGAGAACTAGGGGAAGAGGGAACCGTAGGGATGAGTAGAAAAGAAGGATGTGTTATGAGAGTAGGAGTTGTGACAGTTAAAATGGACTCAGCTTTTCTCTCCTCCATTCTTATATCAAATGAGTGGAGAGAATTATACACAGATGGGATCGCAAGAGATGGAATGGGTATTTCAGTGGCACCAGATCCCAAGACCAAAGTGATCTTCCTCAGAAGGCCACTATAGGTGAGAGAGAAAAACAATCAAGGTAATTTCAAAACTCTTGTCATCTGTATTTTATTTGCTCAGTTATTCTAGCTTTCTCAGTAAAAGAGAGTTGACATAGGTCATCAAAGATTTTGATGCATTCTCTGCAGGAGTGTCAGATTTGTATCAAATATCTGAGAAGAGCCTCATTCAATAGTTTTAAATGTTAAAAGGTTTTCTTTCTTTCATTTTTTCTCTGTCTCCCTCCCTTTCTCTCTCCTCCCTCCTGCTTTCACACAGGCTGAAGTGTAGTGGTGCAATCTCAGCTCACTGAAACCTCCGCCTCCCAGGTTCAAGCAATTCTCCTGCCTCAGCCTTCCAGGCACCTGAGACTACAGGCACGTGCCAACACGCCCAGCTAATTTTTTGTATTTTCAGTAGAGAAAGGGTTTCACCAGTTGGTCTTGAACTCCTGACCTCATGATCCTCCCACCTTGGCCTCCCAAAGTGCTGGGATTACAGGCGTGAGCCACCATGCCTGGCCAAAAGGTTTTCTTTCTTTTTAATAGCATTAGAAGCCATGACTTTGCTGCCAGACCCTTGCTTATTCTCACGCCTCTGTAAAGAATGTGTTTGCAGTCTTTGATATTTTTAACCATGCTCATTTTTCGCTTGCAACTCCCAAATCCTGTGCTCCTGTGTATGCAGCACATAGCGAGGTTGAGGCAGCCTCAGGAGTGCATAGGGAATGCTGAAGGCATGGTGCAGGGTGGGCACGACATGTGGGAGATGGAGCTCCCTCTTCCCTGTGCTTTCTTGGCTGAACGTGAGCCATGCAAGGATCTAAGCTGGAGAAACAGAAGTGACAAAACACAGGAAAACATGGTCAGCCGACTGTGTGATCACCTTCTGTAGTACTCTCGCATCCATATGCACGAAGCCAGCCAAAGTGCAGGGCAAGAGAAACACTAGCATCCACCACGTGGTCATGATCAGTGACACCTACACCACTTCCAGCTTTGGCTCTGCTGTGGTTTTGCTTGTTGGTTTTCTCATCCATCTAATACAATTTAAATTCCTGGCTGGGCGCAGTGGCTCATGCCTGTGTAAACCCCAGAATTTTGGGAGGCTGAGGCAGGAGAATCACTTGAGTCCAGGAGTTCAAGACCAGCCTGGGCAACATAGAGCAACTCCATCTCAGAAAAAAAAAAAATAGCCAGGCATGGTGGCACACACCTGTTGGGCCAGCTACTAGGGAGGCTGAAGCTGAGGTGGAAGGATCACTTGGGCCTGGGAGGCATTGGGCCATGATTGCTCCACTGCACTCCAGCCTAGGCAACAGAGCAAGACCCTGTCTCAAAAAAAAAAGAGAAATTTAAATTCATAAGTTCTTAAATGCTGAGATAACTTCCATGGAGTAGTTTGAGGTCCCTGAAGAACAATATTTATGGCTTACGTTTCAGAGGTTGTCCCACAAAGTGAGAACTTAAAGATGCAAAAGAATTCTTGCTGTTGTTGACGTTAGTTCACCTCTGACTGAATTAATTTCATGGAAGCAGGTGATCTCTCATTCTGTTTCTCATTTTCTCCACCTGAAAACAGCCTTCAACCTATTTGACTGTGATACTGTGGAGAAAAAAAGGCAATATAAGAAAAATGTCACAGTGCATAGAGCCCTTAAAAATTGAACTCAAACACTTTCCCTGGTTACTCTTCTGCATACAAAGTGGCAACCTATAGGTAAAGTAGAAGCCATTGCCTGGCCCTGTCCAGCCAGCAAGTCAGTGGCAGGAGGGATGCAGCTCCTAAGAGTAGCAAATGGCCCTGATGGAATAAAAAAGACAGCATCCCAATCCCAATGGTCCTTCTGTGCTAATACCACCCCCTCCCAAAAAAGAATAGATAAATTAACGGGTGCTGGGTTTCACATATCCAGATGACCTCTCCATTGGCATAAATCACTGAGAATGAACCAGGCCACAAAGACAAAGGTGGCTGGATATTTAGAGATTAATAGTCTGTCTTTATTTCCTCTTCTCCCTATTTTGGGGGTGGGGGATAATGTTATCAGTGCCTTAAACTGATCCCATTTTTTGTAAAAAGTTAGAAAGCAGACATTCTGACATTGTTTTCACAGATTGCTTTGCAGCATTTATGCATGTATTTGTTGCACCCCTCACTTTTTAAATAACTGGCGGTCAGTGTCATGTTCAGGGGGTGGCCTTTAGAATCAGTCTGGTTTTTAATCCCAGATCTGCACTCTTAGCTTCATAGTTTGGGTGAGAATGCCATGGGCCAGGCAGTGGCTCACGCCTGTAATCCCAACATCTGGGAGGCCAAGGCAGAAAGGTCACCTGAGGTCAGGAATTCCAGACCAGCCTGGCCAACATGGTAAAACCCCATCTCTACTAAAATACAAAAATTAGCCAGGCATGATGGTACACACCTGTAATCTCAGCTACTCGGGAGGCTGAGGCAGGAGAATCAATCGAACCTGGGAGGCAGAGGTTACAGTGAGCCAAGATGGTGCCACTGCACTACAGCCTGGGTGATGGAGCAAGACTCTGAAAAAAAAAAAGCCTCTAATCTTCAGATTCCTAATCTGTAAAATAGAGAAATAGAGATTATAATTGGATACCTCCTATGGTGATTATAAGGATTAAACAAGGTGACACACAACCCATTTCCAGCACATGGTGTTTAATAACTCTTAGCTGCTGAGGTTGAGGAGAGTAGCAGAAGCAGTTAATAGTGATTCTTGTATTCGTGTCAAACCCAGCGTGACGAATTATATCCCAGTTTTTGGTTTACAACGTATCTGTCGCTGCGTTCTTCCATATCTGAGAAAAAAGTCAGATTCCATATAAAATGCATTGCTGTATTGACAGAGTGCCTGCCATGCAGCAGACACACATCCCTGCTCTCCACGAGCTTATGGTCCTGCAGGAGATGAAGGGACACAAGCAAATGGTTACAACAAAATCAGATCCATGCCACCCGGGCACTGCACCAGCAGCCAGCAGGATGGGCTCTCCAAGAGGAGGGGCACTCAGGCTGGAAGCTGAACGTTTAGTCTGTGTGAACACGTGGTCAGTTTGGAGGCATGACAACTAATTCAATTCAGAATAGTGAACTTGGAGTATCAGGTAAGCATTTGCAGTAAGTAAAGGAAAAGCCATTTATATTTGCTGTACTGACTAAATTAAGGAAATGGACAAATCCATTTGAGAAGGATTTAAACAAGGGTTCAAATTCAAAAGGTTTGAATCTGGTGAGTGACCCATGTCCAGTGCCTCACAAGTTAGTGAAGAGGCCAGGCGCGGTGGCTCATGCCTATAATCCCAGCAATTTGGGAGGCCAAGGCGGGTCAATCACTTGAGGTCAGGAGTTCGTGACCAGCCTGGCCAACATGGTGAAACCATGTCTCTACAAAAAATTAGCCAGGCATGGTGGCGGGCGCCTGTAATCCCAGCTACTTGGGAGGCTGAGGCAGGAGAATCTCTTGAACCCAGGAGGTGAAGGTTGCAGTGAGCCAAGATCACACCTCTACACTCCAACCTGGGTGACAGAGTGAGAGTTAGTGAAGAGTTCCCTACAGCTTCCACTGGAGCTTTTACTGTTGAGGAGCTGGAGAGAGGCTGAACTCTGGCAATTCTTTCTCCTGTGCAGGCCAGTCCCTCTGGATGGGCTGTGGTTCCATGAAGACCAGTGACCACTGTGTCAGGCTGCAGTGTGTGAAGTCCACAGAGAACCCAGAATGCTATTAATATAAGAAAGCAAGTCATGGTTTAGCAAAGCAGGGCCCAACCTCCCATACTTGGGGTGAGGCATAAAGTTAAACCTTGGCAGATACAGGGGAATGCTCTGGTTTTTGAAGAATGTGTAATGGCATGCGAAGACCAGCCAGGAGATAATATTGTGTGAAAAAGCAACTTTATGAGACTACACATAAAGTATGAATATGATTTTAGACTCATAAAGTATTCTAGTTTTTAAATTCATATTCATATAGGAAATGAAAGTATTTGGGTATATATACAAATATAAAAAGAAAATGCACCAAAATGTTCGCAGTAGCCATATCCCATCAGTGAAATTTCAGAGCTGAATTTTATTTCCTCCTTTATTCTTTGTATTTTCAAAATTTTCTACATGTGCCCCTGTTATAATTGGAGAGAAAAAGGAATCTTGTGGCTCTTTTAGTTAGCCAAAATTAGCCCTAAAGAAGCGACCTGCATTTTGGCCAGCTGATGTGTCATCCTGGCCCAGATAGACATCTTAGCAGAATTGCCAATATTTGTTTCTAAATGCTGAAGGCTACGACTGGGCACTTCATTTCTGTACAATCTGCAAAGACTAATTTCTGGCTGGTAATCAAGAGAACTAACTGTAGGCAGAGCTAAAGAGATGTCAATGAATTCTGTGAATATGCCCAGAATATTCTCGAAGTTATTTTTGCCTCAGGACGTGGGTGAAGCAAGTTGTAGACCAGGCTTACCCCAGGTCTTAAAGAAGAAGAAGAAGAAGTACATGCAAAATAAAGCCTAAAAAGAAATGTCACTTCTTTTTAGAGACCCCATTGAGAACCCAGATTGAAAAAAACCTTCCTGTGTCTTCAGGCCCCCTATGGCAGTATCTGCACTTGTCCGGCTTTTGTCCTTCAGGTCTGTCTGTGGGAGAGAAGAAAGACGGAAGGAATTGGCTCTGGCCATCCATATTCCACCCTTTTCTTAACCTTAAGGTGCAAGTTCCCTTATCTTAGGGACCTACCAGGCAGCTTCCTTTCTGTTTAGCCAACAAACATTTGTTGAGCACCTGACCTACTCTAAGCCCTAGAGATGCAAAGCCCAGTGAGACCAGAGCCCTCAAGGAGCTCAGTCACCTAGGGGAATCAGCCCTACAAAGAGAAAATCATAATAACATGCAGTAAGTAGGGCTGTGCCCAAGGAATTGTGGGACCACAGAGGAGGGGCACCTAACTTGGCCAAGGTGGAAGGGGGACAGGAAAGAAGGGTTCTGGAGGTATGATCCCCAAGGCAAATCTTCAAGGATAAGCAGTAACTCACCAGGCAGAGGTGAGAGATAGGAAACATGTGTATTGCCAAGAAGAAAGGACGTTTTATAATAGATGAAATGCTTGACCATCTGGAATAGCATTTGGGGGTGATGGCTGGAATGAAGACATTTTCTGAGATGAAGGGCTGCCCCTTGGTGACTGCCTCTCTGAGCTCTAGCTGGTATGTTATGGAGCCCTGCAGTCTGGCCTCTGGGTAACATCCCGCTGTTTAGCACAGCATCAACTGTGCATGCATCTCTAAACTGAATCTGTAGTTAACTAAGTAAAAGATAGCCCCTTCTAATCAGAGAATCCTGGAACTCCCAGGATGGAAAGGGACCAACAGATGACCTGGACCATACTCACTTCTCAGTGGCAGTGATAGGTGCTGCAGGTAGGTGGCCCATGGTGGAGCTGGCCCATGCAGGTGATCCAGGGACTCTGTTTATAGCCTCTATTCACTGATTGATAGACACTTTACTAGCAGACCTCCCAAAGTACCTCATGACACCCGAGCTTTTCTGCCCTTGGCTCCCACATACGACACACCCCTTCCCTTGAAGGTATCTGCATCTGTGCCCTCTTCATGGTGTGGGTGAGCTTCTGCTGACCCCATCCTGGCCTGCAGCTCTCTGATGCTACGAAACAAATACATTTGTTCCTTCCATTCCAGTCATGACAATGTGACCATTGTTTTTCTAATGCTAATGCAAAGCACTGTGAGGCAGGTCAAAATGGTCCACTCAGAAAGAGCAGCCTCTGAGCCTCGGCCGGGAGGGCCTTTCCTCCCTGGACGGCCTCCCTCTCAGAGGCTTCCTTCCTCCTTTGTCACATTCACCAGATGAGATGAAGGTTTATGCCTGACATACCTTGTCAGCCATTTGGGCAGTAACGTGTTCAACAAAGTTAGCCCTGGGATAATATCTAAGTGTACAAATGGACGCTGTTTATACCATGCGTCGTTCCATGAAGGATTGAAGACGGCCTACATGAATAGGTATGGTAGCCTGAGAATACACAGGTATATACAAATCTGAATTAGGGAAAACAGAATAGAAGGAAGCTCCACATCAAGGAAAAAGTTTTAGCATCAATATACAGACCACAGAGTTCTGTAAAGGTATCAGAGCTGAGCTCTCTCTGGCTCAGAGCTTTTAGCTGTGAGCTCCCTGGAAGTCAAGGAAAAAGGAAATACAGTAATTTTATGCTCCATATTTCTTGGAAAGAAAAGTATACCCCTTCCTCTCAGAGAACAATATTTTAATAAGGCTTGAGTATGAAAGAACTTTCTGTCCTAGGCTCCCATGAGGGGATACTGTGTAATAAATGTCTTCACCGACATTTGTACAATGAATCTCCAGAACACAAGATGGTGTTCTAGCGGGTCCATCAATGAAACAGGCACAGAACACCAGCACATTCATGAAAGCAATGAAGGTGGGATAGCCCAGTGGCATGAAACACTGGCTTATCTGAAGTCAGATCCGCACTTGAATCCTGGCTCTGCCATTTCCTAACTGTATGAACTTGGCCAAGTTGTCAATTCCGCTGATCATTAGTTTCTCACATGTAAAATGAGAATGGTCATTCCTCCTCTACAAGGTGTTGTGAGGGGTAAACAATCCACAGAAGGCACTTAGCCTCGTCCCCAGGATGTAGTAGGCAGGACTGTATGTAGTTGCTGCTGCCACTGCTTTATCATCATTATGAGAAGAAATAAAATATGGTTCACGCTCATAGGCAGTTTGACTTGGTGCAGAGAACAAATTTTCACAGCTACAAGACTGGATTGACTGCATGTCCATAAGTTCATATCCACATAACATTTTTCACCTGGGCTTGGCAGAAATTGGACCACTAAAGGTTCAACTCCAGACTTGGGAGTAGAAGTATTAGGGTTTTTACAGCTTAAAGAAAGAGCTGGATACTTTAAAATTTAACTGAGAAGATGTTAGAATTGGCATCCAGTATGAAAACGGAAGAGCATAAACAAGATTCTTTGCCGAATGACTGGGCAGCTTCCGGGCACATGGAAGTGAGCCAGGACAGCACCTGCAGAGGTGGCCTAGATTTTGCTGGAAAACAGTTCCCAGCCCTCTCAAGCAGAGAATGAAAAGACCCTCAGAACCCCAAGGTGATGCAGAAAGAGTAAGATACATCCTGGGAAACATAGCGAAATCCCATCTCTAAAAATCATACAAAAATTAGCCAGGTGTGATGACATATACCTGTGGTCCCAGCTACTCCAGAGGCTGAGATGAGAGGATCACGCAAGCCCCGGAGGTCAAGGTTCAGTGAGCCATGATCGCGCCACTGCACTCCAGCCTAGGCAACAGAGCAAGACTCTGTCTCAAAAAAAGAAAAAAAGCAAGAATAAGATTATTTTGAACTCAAAAGACTTTGTCTTGTTTTCAGTTATCAAAATGGAAAGATTATGACTGTAAAAATTATTAATCCTCATTTAAAGTTCAAAACATGCAAAAAAAATAGAGACAAATCATTCAGTCTCAATATGCAATGATAACAGCTATTCACATTCTGATCCACATTGGTATTTTCTATACATGTATACAGATGCTAGCATGTTTATATGTATACATATATTTTTACATAGTCTTTTAACTCGTTATTTTTATTTTTTTTTTTTTAGACAGAGTCTCACTCTGTTGCCCAGGCTGGAGTGCAGTACAGTGACACAATCTCGGCTCACTGCAGCCTCCGCCTCCTGGGCTCAAGCAATTCTCTTCTGCCTCAGCCTCTCAAGTAGTTGGGATTACAGGTGCACACCACCGCACCCAGCTAATTTTTTGTATTTTAGTAGAGACAGGGTTTTACCATGTTGCCCAGAGTGGTCTTGAACTCCTGACTCAGGCAGTCTGCCCACTAGCAGATGAGATGGGACACCTTCCACTTTTCATTTTAAATGGATACCTACTATTCTTCTTAATCAGTTCTCTAATAATGAAAATTTAAACATTTTAATGAATATTTTTGCACATGTATCAGTGAACCCTTGAGCCTAAGAGATTTTCAAACTAAGAAACAGAAAAATCTTAGTGATATGCCAGTTAAAATAATTATCTTAGTGGCGAGAGCTTTTTATAGGGGACAGATTACCCACCATCTATGATGCAGTCGTTTTTCTCATACTAGATTGATGAATATACTGGGTACAGCCTCAGGGACAAGGATGCAGGAGGACAGTGAGAAAGATTTCTTTGTCTCTCCATGAGACTTAGTGGACTCTTTCACTTCCCGATGTCATTCAGTGAGCACTTCCTGGACATTGTCTAGAGGCGAGGCATGGGCCTGGCACTAGGGACACAGCCCTTAACACATGGAAGGGGCTCAGTAAATACCATGGTGATGTTAAATATCCATGACTGCCTTGAAGAAACCACAGTAAATATAAGCTGACCTGCACATCTTCAGTTTGCACAAGAAAGGCAAGTTTGCATCCCCTGATTGTATTAGGATTTATCTTTATGATACGATGGCTCCTTAAGCTCCTCGAATTTAGCAGTTCTTAATTCACAGATCAAAATCCCTGGCCAGGTGCAGTGGTTCATGCCTATAACCCCCACTTTGGGGGATCGAGGCAGGTGGATCAGTTGAGGCCAGGAGTTGAAGACCAGCCTGGCCAACACAGTGAAACCCTGTCCCAACCTATATATCTATAAATAGACAGACAGACAGACAGATAGATAGATAGATACATAGATAGATAGATAGATACATAGATAGATATGTATACACACACACACATACACACACACACATACATACACATATATATTTATACATACACACACCAAAATTTGCCAAGCGTGGTAGTACATGCCTATAATCCCAGCTACTCAGGAGGCTGAGGCAGCAGAATCACTTGAACCCGGGAGGTAGAGACCACACCACTGCACTCCAGAGACAGAGGAGAGAGAGAGAGAGAGAAGAAGAAAAGAAAGAGAAAGGAAAGAGAGAAAAGAAAGGAGGCGGGAGAGGGAAAGAGGGAGACAGGAAGGAAGATCCCTGGGGAAGAGGAAAAGGGAAGAGGAGACTTCCTGTGCTTCTTAGGAGGTTTTTCCCATTGGATTGGGACTCCCTGCCCTTCTTCCCAAATAGCCACTACTGAGGATGGGTGTTACCTTGTATCCCTTACATCATCCTCAGGGAAACCAATGATGAAGAATTCCTGTGTTGATGGTTCTTGTCGAGTTACGAAGGACACCTCCAGCCTGGAGGCTGCCTCTCAGCCAGACTGGGCATGAGACCCAGGCAAATGGGTCAGTAGGTGCCCTCACCACAGCCAAGATGGGTTAGTCACTTGGAAGCTCAATTGGCTCATGTTTTTTAAACATTTTTAAACAGATTACAGAATTTTTTTATTTTATCTTATGTATAGTTCTAAGGTGTAATGGTCAAGAAAAGCATGGCCTCTCAGAACATCTGGATTCGAATCTCAGTTTGGCTGAGTGCTGACTTCATGAACAAGTTATTTAACCTTTCTGAGCTTATCTCATGTGCAAAACAGAAGTAACAGACCTACAGCATACAGCTGTGGTTAGGATTACATTAGAGAGTCCACATCAAACACTTAGCACAGTGCATGGTACACAGTAAATAATAAACACTAACCGGTATTGCCACTTGGTTATATAATATTAGCAATTCTCAGAACAATCCAATTAGGTGGGTACTTCGTATGGTATTATCCCCATTTTAAGATGAGAAAACCAAGGCTCAGAGTACGCGGTTTTCAGTAATCATCCCTCACATCTGCACCACATGCATGCACACACACATGCACACGCACACATATGCAGCCTTCTTTCACTGGTC